CGCCATCAAAGATGTGAGTGTATGCAGATACATATGTGTGTGTGTGTGTATATATATATATGTGTGTGTTATAAATGATTGTATAGTGTAAATATATAGTGTATGTGTGCGCGCATGCATAAATACCATGATACACTCACTTGTGTTCTATATACAGTATAATTGAAATAAGTTTGATTGTGGCTTGCCACTAATGACCGTAAAGAGAGGACGATTAGGAACAATCAACTTGTCCACCAAATTTTAGATTCAGTTGTGTTTCGTAACATTGCATTGACGTGTAATATCGCGATTCTTTAACATGCATGTAATTAAATGTACGTTTTAATGATTATATTTGACAGAATTCTGAGCAAAGGACTGGCAGCATATGTTCTTTCTTTGCCATCTCTATGCATCTATGCAAGCTCTACGAGGGAAGAACACTGGAGGAATTCATGGAGTCGTAGAAATACTTCCATGGACCATGATGCAGCATTTCTCTGTGCGCACGTACGCCCAGGTGGCTCTGTGTACGGTGTGGACGGTTGCCAGGCAACGGAACAAGTTGGATTTCTGCGAACGTCATGCACTGCTGGAAGGATGCATCAACCAGGTTGCCACAGTTGAGAGGTGTGTAGAGGGAAATATAGTGATGTCGCAAGTTATGCTGATTGATCGAGTCGCTCACATATAGCAGTCATTCGTAGTGCTATTTACTATTTAATTATTTGAAATAATTATATGGTTTTTGTGTTATAAATGTAATGTAATCAGTAATAGTGTCAGTAGTAGAAATTATACATGTGTGCATATATGTATTTAGCATTTAGAAAGGAAATTAAAAATACAAGTACATAAGTATACATCTATATATATATGTATATACTAGCTCAGATTTTTTATTTACAGCAATTCTACTAAAAGTGTGAAGAAACTCATGGAATCCTTCTGGTTTTCTGATAATTTCCATCCTATTGCAGACTATATTATTGAGGTAAGAAATATCCTAGGTTTGGTTTTAGTATATATGATCAAAGTTACCATTACCAAGTATATAATAAAAAAAAATTCAGTATTTTTAGCTCAGCTGACGAAGTCAGATGCAGCTTCCAGAATCGCATGATTGTCCGTCCGTGCGTCCGTGCGTCCGTCAACAGTTGGGCACAGATCTTAACCGCTTGACGTACGATCTTGATATTCGGGACGTCGTGGGGGATCGCGAAAAGGACTCGGGATGTCGAATTTGGGGGTCAAGGGTCAAAGGTCGATACTTAAGGTATTGGAGGAAATACGGAATTGCGGCACAAATCTCGACGGCTCGGTTTGATATTCGGTGTTTAGTGCGAAATCACAGGAGGTCAAAGGGCAGTGGGGGACCACCTGGCCTACCATTTTATTGAAAGGACCATAAAATCTACTTTCCGCTGACGTGTGAAGAGTAAGTGTCTGATAACCTTTTGACCCTCAAGAGGAGGGTTAAACATGGATTTGTTGACTGTTAACAAAGGACTGAACTGCTTTTGCTATTAGAGCCCCCTCCCCCCACCACCACCACTACGCTCGCGCTCGATGCATATCCATGATAATATGATCAAAGTTACACAGCTATATCTTTATCACTGCACTACCGGTATAGCCAAGCCAGGGAGGGCGCACTTGATTCGGTTGCCAGTGAGTTTATCAGAAGAATACCCGGCTACAGTACAAAGCCTAAGCCTATTTCTGTATTCTTTGTAGCAATTATTCATCGAAAAACTCATAGAAAGCACTTAGCGATAGTTTTAAGGATAATGACGTTATAGCCTAGTGTTCTACTTGCAAATCTAATTGTATCTTTAATTACGCCCATGGCTCCTGGGTGGAGTATAGGCCACTGATAAAACGTCGCCACCTGACTCGATGTTGGGCGAGTTGCCTGATGGTGTCCCAGGTGTGTCCCTCGGCTTTGATTTCCGCTTTGACCGACCTCCTCTATGTAGTTTTCGGACGGCTCCTGGTATTGATATTGGTACGGCTGGCCGAGTAGTGTCTGTGTAACTGTATACCTGTATACGTATGCGTGTAACACCGCTCAAAAATGCACATCTCAAGATTATGATAGCGCTTATTACATTTTGTAGAGTCGATAGCTTTGCGAGCAAGAACCTTGTTTACCCAGTGGCAGTGCTAATGTGAAATGCTGTGCCGCGTATGTAGAGAATTATGAACACATAACACATGTTATTGACACATGTACATCATATTCAGAGAGTCGGACAAGTGTGATTTCAATACAACATGTAATCATTTATTGATTATACTGCATCATACATATATTCAGATATATATTATACATTATATTATTATTACATCTGATATTGTAAGTAACATTGACTGTTTGTACTATCGATAAGCGATTAATGACGTCGTTGCATGCAGGTCGGGTAAGGAGTCGTCGCGACGTTCAACGTAGACCACTGTGAGGGCGAGCAGAGCAGTGTGAGGGCGCCACCGCTGCCGACCTACCGACGGTGATCATCATTGAAAACCTGCTGGGAGAGGTAGGTAAGTCATCTTTGTATTCTCCTCTCTCGCTCTCTCTCTCATTTCTCTCTGCTCTCTCTGCCTCTCTCGTTCTCTCTCTGCCGGGAGGAGGAGAGGAGAGAGAGGGAGGAGGAGAGAGAGGAGGAGAGAAGAGAGAGAGGTAGGAGGAGGAGAGAAGAGAGAGGAGGTAGGAGGAGGAGAGAAGAGAGCGAGAGAGAGAGAGAGGGAGAAGGAGGAGAGAAGAGAGAGAGAGAAGAGAGAGAGAGAGAGAGGGAGGAGGATGGGGAGGAGGAGGAGGAGAGGAAAGGGGGAGAGGAAAGAAGAGAGAGGGGGAGGAGGAGGAGAGCAGAGAGAGGAGGAGGTAGGAGGAGAGGGAGGAGAGAGGAGGAGAGAAGAGAGGAGGGAAGAGAGAGAGAGAGAGGAGGTAGGAGGAGGAGGAGGAGGAGAGGGAGGGGGGAGGAGGAGAGAAGAGAGAGAAAGAGAGGGGGAGAAGGAGGAGAGATGCGAGAGAGGGAGGAGGAGGAGAGGGAGGAGGAGAGAAGAGAGAGAGGGGGAGAGGAGAGAAGAGAGAGGGGGAGGAGGAGGAGGTAGGAGGAGGGTAGAGAGAGAGAGAAAGGGGAGGAGGGAAGAGAAAGGGGAGGAGGGAAGAGAAAGGGGAGGAGGGAAGAGAAAGGGGAGGAGGGAAGAGAAGGTAGGAGAAGAGAGAGAGAGAGAGGAGGACGGGGAGGAGGTAGGAGGAGGTAGGAGAGAAGGACGGGGAGGGAGGTGGGGTGGGAGGGCTCCCTTCTCCTCCCCCCTTCCCCTCCTCCCTCCTCGCTCCCGAGAGAGGGGAAAGAAGGGAGAGAGAGGGAGGAGGAAGAGGGAGAGAGGGAGGAGGAGAGAAGCGGGGAGGAGAAGGGAGCCCTCCTCCTCCCTCTCTCTCTTCGGCGAAGGAAAGAGACGAGAGGGGAGAGGGAGAAGGCGAAGACGAGAGGGGAGAGGGAGAAGGCGAAGATGAGAGGCGAGAGGAGGCAGTGAGAGAGAGAGAGAGAGAGGAGCAGGCAGAGAGAATGAGAGAAAGGCAAGGAGAATACAAAAGTCACCTACCTCTTCCAGCAGCAGCGTCGGCAGGCTATGTTCGTGCAGCGTCGGCAGGCTCCAGGCGATGACTCCTTACCCGACCTGCATGAAACGACGTCATTTATCGCTTATCGATAGTACAAACAGTCAA